ATAGGAGGACACAGAGGTAGAGTGGTTCAAAGCTGTGCAGGAAAGATGTTGAAATTAGGCATGTTTGTAAATGGGGAATAACTGGATGTCAGCAGGGACAGAGTTGGCAGCAATATTTAGTATAGGTGAACATCCAGGCATAGCTTTGATGTATGAATTTATTTGTGTAGAAGTTGTGAAACTGACCGGAAGAGCTGAAGAAGCTTTTTTTAGCTTTGAGAGCCTGAAGGAGTAATTAAGCTTGATCTGGGTGTAATCTGATACTAAATATTTCTTTCTATATTTAACAAAACTTGAGAGTAACCCTAAGTTAGAATTACATTTGGAAAATATTAAAGAGACAATAATTATATACTCTGGATACCTGCATATATGAATGTTTGATGTAAGGTATATAATTTATATCTATAAATACAATTTCTGGAATATTTATTTCAAAATAAATACAGGTGATGTTGGTTCCTTCAGTGGTCTAAATGGGCTGAGCAGCCTCCTTCTGCATTGTACCAATCCTATGATCTTGTGATTTAATCCACGATATGTCAAAGAGCAGAAAACTACCAACCCCTGTGATGTTCATAGAAAAATGTTTATACTGTAGAATTTACAATAGGTAAATATGTAAAATCATCAGCTTTGTTTGCAATTTAGAGGGATATGGGATGAGACAGAATTGTTTTAAAATTTAGTTCCGAAGTAAGTTTTTCAGTTCAGTTCAAAAGACACTGGTGTTAGTTTAGAAACCACTTTTTTTGTGTCTTGAAGCAGTTCAGGGAAGAAGCTACCTCACTAGAAAGGTTTAGCTTCTGAAACTTTCACCAGCAACATTTGGTAGAAATCTGTGTGTAATTAGAACTGAGAAAGTTTATACACTCACGTTTGTGGAAAAGTTCATGTCAGTAGGTTTGGAAAGAACTCCTCAAGTCGTCTTCACAACCCTGGCCATGAAACTGTCAGCGTTAATTAAACAGAATCCTCAAGGAGCTGACATATGAGGAGTGTTTCTCTCAGACTTGAGTCTCTGTAATGGATAGTATTGACATATAGATTGAAACATTGTTTTTCAATGTGTTTTAGATCATTTTTACTCTTGTTTATGTTTAGATGGTTCTTTTCATCTCTTTTGCATAATCAAATTCTGTTTATTGTTAAAGAAAATCTATAACCTCATACATCTGCCACCATGTTGACTGGCCAAACTAAAAAAAACTACCAAGCCAGATTTCATTCTGAGATCTGACTTGACTACTTGCAAAAATCTTAAAGATGCTCGATTTTTATTTTCAAAAAAGTTTATTCATGTCCAGGGTTATATCATTCTCGTTTAGACTCATGTTATAATTGGGCCAGTAATGGGCTCTTGTGGTGCAGTGCTAGTGTCCCTACCTCTGAGGCAGGAGGCCTGGGTTCAAGTCCAACCTGGTTCAGACATGTGTCATAACATTTCTGAACTGGTTGATTAAAATATATCTATAATTGAACCAGTTTGCTCACAAAACATGGGACTTGCACTTTAGCATTATTTCAAGGTGGGGTCTAGATAACTTCAAAAAACTGGGTCTCTGCTATTTTTGAGGAGCATTTCCCACTCACCAACCCTGTCCCATAGACCATATGACTATAAGAAAAAGGAACAGACATAAGCTATTCAGCCCCTGTGACTGTTCCACCATTCTATAGGATCATGGCTGATTTGAAGTTCCTCAAGTTCACTTTCCTGCATATTCCCTATAACCCTTGATTCCCCTCCTGATTAAGAAGCTACTTATCTTAGCCTTAAAAATATACAAGGACTCTGCCCTCACAGCTCTCTGTGACAAGAAGTTCCAAGGACTCACAACCCTCTGAGAGAAGAATTTCCTTCTCATCTCAGTCTTATATTTGGGCCCCTTTATTCTGCGACTACAGCCTCTGGTCCTAAACATCCTCTCGGCATTTAAACTGTCAAGCCCCTCAAAAATCATTTGTGTCTTAAAGAGATCACCTCTCATTCTTCTAAATTCCACTGAGTAGAGTCATAACCTGTTTAGCCTTTGCTTATAAGACAATTTCTCCACAATGGGGATCATCCTAGCAAATCTTTTCTGAACTGTCTCCAATGACAGGACATCTTTCCTTCACTAAGGGGACCAAAATTGCTCACAGTACTCTAGACATGGTCTCACTAGCACCTTGTACAGTTGCAGTAAGATTTCCCTACTCTTACACTCCAACCCCTTGAAATAATGGACGTAGCCTTTTTTGTGTTTTGTTTCTTCATCTGTCGTTTGGTATGCTTGCCTTTATTGATCAGTGCATTCAATGTACGAGTTGGGAGGACAGGTTGCAGCTGCACAGACATTGGTTCCGCTACTTTTGTAGTATTGCGTGCAATTCTGGTCTCCCTGCTATAAGAAGGATGTTGTTAAACTTGAAAAGGTTCAGAAAAGATTTACGAGGATGTTGCCAGGTTTGGAGGCTTTGAACTAAAGGAAGAGCCTCAATAGGCTGGGGCTATTTTCCCTGGAGCATCGGGGGATGAGGGGTGAGCTCATAGAAGTTTATAAAATCATGAGGGGCATGGAGAGGGTGAATAGTCAATGTCTTTTCCCCCAGGGTAGGGGAGTCCAAACTAGAGGACATGGGTTTAAGGTGAGAGGGAAAAGATTTAAAAGGGAATTAAGGGGCAACTTTATCACGCAGAGGGTAGTGTGGATATGGAATGAACGGCCAGAGGAAGTGGTGGAAGCTGGTACAATAACAACATCTAAAAGACATCTGAATGGGTGTATGAATAGGGAAGGTTTAGAGGGATAAGGGCTAAAATGCTGGCAAATTGGACTAGATCAATTCAGGATCTCTGGTTGGCATGGTCGAGTTGGACCAAAGGGTCTGTTTCCATGCTGTACATCCCTATGACTCTATTTCTCTTTTGTATCAAAGTTCCCCTTTCAGCAGTGGGGGAAGGCAATTGCTGCAGTGGCAGCAGTGTGGTGTATCTGGTAGTTTATTGAAGGCTTCATTGTTGGTGGCTCTAGTCGGCTCCTCCTGGTGCCGGTGCAGCAGTTTCAGCAGTGGCTTTAGCGGTGGCAGCATGGTGGGTCCAGTTCATTCCTTGTGGCTATAGTAGCAAAGTGGCAGCTTTGGGTGGTGAGTGAAGTGGCAATGGTTTTACCGTCGGTGACTCGGTCGGTCCAGTCTGTCTGCCCTTGCTATGGCGTGACGCAGTGGCTTCAGTGTCTGCTTCAGCAGTGGCAGCATGGTGGGTCCGGTCCAGAAATCCTTGCTTTGACAGCCTCAGCGCGGCTTCAGGGCAGCTTTCCTATTCTCCTTCAGCATTCCAGTAGCCTTCCTGATTACCTGCTGCCCCTGCATGCTAGCTCCCTGCATTTCATGAACGAGTATCGCAAGCTCCTTTGTGTTATAACTTTCTGCAGTTTTTCTCCATTTAAATGATACTGCTGTTTTGTTCTCCTTTCCAAATTGCACAACTGCACATTTCCAAAGTTTTTGCCCACTTACTTAACCTATCGATATCTCTCTGTTTATAGTCAATACAGTGTGGAGCTGGAGGAACACAGCAGGCCAGGCAGCGTCAGAGGAACAGGAAAGTCGATGTTTCGGGTCGGGACCCTTCTTCAGAAATGGGGAGGGGGAAGGGAGCTCAGAAGTAAATAGTGAGAGGAGGGGTGGGGCTGGGGAAGGTGGGTGGGATAGTGATAGGTGAGTACAGGTAGGCAGTGGTGGGGATTGGTCAGTGAGGTGAGAGGAGCGGTTAGGTGGGAGAGAAGATGGACAGGTTGTGTCAGGTCAAGGAGGCAGGGATGAGAGGGAGGCTTGGACATGGGATGAGGCCGGGGTTGGGGAGATTTTAAAACTGGTGAATTCTATGTTAAGGCCATCGGGCTGTAGGCTCCCGAGACAGAATATGAGGGGTTGCTCCTCCAATTTGCATGTGGCATCATCGTGACACTGCAGGAGGCCCAGGATGGACAGGTCTTCAAGGGTGTGGGAGTGGGAGGGAGAGTTAAAATGGTCAGTGACCGGAAGGTGTTGTTCATTATCACATACAGAGCGCAGACGCTCCACAAAACAGTCCCCGAGTCTGCGTTTGGTCTGACCGATGTAGAGGAGGCCACATCTGGAGCAACAGATACAGTAGAGATAACAAGGTGTAGAGCTGGATGAACAC